TTGTTCGATTAGCTGAAGGCATGGAGGCATGTCCCGTGCTCTACAGGCGTCACTTTTTATTTTTCTGGGAAGCCGCATACTAGATCATTTTTAGTAGGGGATCATCCATATGCATTCAGCTGCAATCGATTCAGGCAAGGTGCATCATTTGTGATACTGGTTTAAACCTTGGCTTGGGACACATTTCAATATAGCTTTGTGTGGGTTGCCGGTCGCTAGTCAGCAAGTCTTCCACTGCACATAGCACGCATTGTGAGCGTGCTGATCTGTTCCAATCCAGGCAGTAGCCCGCAAAGAAAAAAACAAAGGGCACCATCACAATGCTCAGTATGTGTGTTTTAATTCATGCATAGCCGAGATGGTGCCATTCGGTCAGTTTCCGACTTCTTTCCAGCACGATTAGTATGGTTGGCGGCTTATGAGGCGCGTATCGATCTTCTTCAGGTTGTTTGTGATTTGTGGTGCTTGACGCTGTCCAGGCGGCTTGTTTGGGCTGGAGGGGGGCTGAGTTGTTTTTTGCTAGACCCATGAGATTCTTCAGTTTCAGCTTTGCCCTGAGCACAAGCAGTTTATCTATTCCTGTGGGCAGTAGGGTACCTGCGGGTGCTTTGACTGGCAAGCTCCCAACTGATGGGGCGGCTTGGGAAGCTGCCATTTCGGGATTCCCTGAGGCACTATCCCCAGCCCCCCCTGCAATCGACCCGCGAACTTGAAATTAGCCCAGCAAAACAGCAAAGTGGCTGTTATCTGGGCTCTTGCGGAGGCTGCGGGAAAAGAGGAGGGCTTGTGCTTGCGCTGATTCAGCGCCCTTGCACTCGTGCAATTCTGGCATTTGTTTGAGAATGTTTCGAAACGATTTGTATTAATCCAAAGTACATGATGAAGTAATGGCCTGCTCACTGCAGGGGTAATTTGTCACGTGAGCTAGTTCGCAGTTCGTAAGACACCTTGGCTACTATGCTTTAGAGAGATCTTCCATTGGGTCCGTGTTCTTCAAAGTTGTATCCACTGCAAGATTGGATGACTTCAAGACAGTTCCCATTTGCGGCAAGGGCCCTCGATGCTGTTTTTTCCCTGGGATGGGCAGGGCTTTGTGGTTTGGGAGGCGCGCTTGTTCACAAAATGGGGGGGAAGGTTGGGGTACCGTGTCACCCCTTTGGAATAGTTTTGTGTCAGACAGTTTTTGAAGGGGCGTGTGTGTGTGTGGCCTTGTGGTCACCCTGATTGGTTGTTTTTCAAAATGCATGACAACCTAAATGCTTGTTGATATGTTGTGAAGTTGAGGGTGTGTGAGGGGTGGCAGAAGGACCCCAGGAAGACTTTATGGACATATGGACGTAGATGGTAAATGGTTGACTCGATATTTTTTGCATATGGCTTGTATATGAGGGTGAGGTTGGCGCATGACAGTAGGTAGTCCAGTGGTGCGGAGCCCCCCCCCCTTTAGCATTTCCCAAAATCTTGAAGCTGGCCCTGGATTCTTGGATGCAGTGCTGTTCCCACTTGCAGCTTCAAATGATTCGCTTGCCGGGTTTAGAACTTTGTTGGCCGCAGTGCCAGAGATTGTCCCATCTTATGGTCGCGCTGTTTTGGGCAGCTGCGGGCTCCTGTAGCCTCAGACAAGCAAGCAAAGCAAAGACACAGAGACCTGCGATTGAATCTTTGGTGGGCATCAGTAGCATAGTGGATTGACGTCCACCAGCCATGTACAGATTGTAGACCCTGTCGCTACGTTGTTGGCCTGCCAAGTCCCAATTGACAGCGATGAAAAACAACGGAGCCCTGACTGGGCCTTCGAGCAATTGAATCATTATAGGAAACACCACGCAGCAAAAGCGCATTCCAGAACAAGGGGTGAATCCATGTTGCTGTTGCTTGCAGCTGGCTTAGTGACGCCAAGAGGAGGTGCACAGAACACATGCCTTCTGAAAGCCTACCATTCTCGTTTCTTTCTACGAAAACATGAATTGCAAAATCTTCAACGCACAGACAACACGACGTCAGGTTTATTACATTGTCTTAGTGCCGTTGCCGGCATGTCATGAACCCGAGCTGCAAGAAGATGTTTGTGAAGTAATTGCTTTGCACTTCCTTGGTTGCTGAACTTTTGCGCAGCCTGGTTCTCAGCCAGTACCTACTATTGTCAATAATCGCCGCTTTTGATTAATCCAGGGGTCCCCCCCCCGGGCTCCCCCCCCCCCGGATTAGTGTTCCAGGTCTAGAATTCTAGGGGTCTTTCAGAGAACGGAAAAGAGCTTCAATTCATTTGGTATTCGGGCCCAATGCTTTTGTTCTTTCCCCAAGTTAGGAAAACATTTCTGTGATTGTGAGGGGGTGTTCATTAACGCGGGTGATGAAAAGTCTCAGGTTTCAGTACAAGCTGAGTACTTGGGATTGCAAGCTTTAATGCCAGTGAAGTGTTGGATTTTGGGCTTAGCCAAAGTTGTGGGGAATGCTATGGTTGTAGAGGTGCAGGAACGCAGTTTTGTACCCGCTTGATTCGCGCAATAAGAACTCTCTTGAAGCAAGCTCTGGGACTTAATCGGCAGCAGGCCGGGGCCTGGCAACTAATTTCTTTAGTTCTGGGGGGTTTTCTGGTGATTGGATTACCGTGGGTCGTAATTGCGGGAGGGTTTATTAATCAAAAGCTGCGATTAGCGTGAGCCTGCCCGAAGGTTCGGCGACTCCTTTCCATCGCATGAGCCCCTCTGATAGGAGACTTGCGATCAGATTCAACGCATGTTTCCCGCTTCATCAGATGTGAGGTCTTGCGCTTACTGCATTGCCCAGCCAAGATGATACCAAGCAATCACATCTTTGCCTCATTCAATGCCTCATTCAATGCAAGTAAGAGCTCGGTGTGTTCCATAGTTCCTTCTTTGAGCGGTGGGGCGGCCAGCGGGGGGAGGGAGAAAAGGGGTGGGTGAGTGGGTTCGTGAGCGCGTGTGGGCGGGCGGGTGGACAGGTGTGGGTGTTTGTGTGTTTGTGTGTAGTGTAGTGTTCCTTTCAGAAGCATAATTTCCTTGCCCAAGGCTGCTGAGGCATGAAATGCAGCACTTGCCGAGGAGCTCATACTATGGCTGCGCGACGCAGAACGACTCCAAACTGTGGCTTTCTTGGCATGATTGAACCTGCACATGGGTGCCAGAGCGGTGTTCAACATGTCTATTGTCGGGGATTTGTTGTTTGACAGCCCATTGCACGTATATTTGGCTTTGGTCAGTTGGCATGCAGAGCATCGCATATTGACACTACATATGTTGGGCCATGGACATGTCCCCTTGTACGTGTGTGCGCGCGGGTGCGTGGGCGTGCGGGCGTACGTACGGCACTTTGTCACAACATGCTGCACCTCGGGCCCCTTTTGCCAGGCTTAGCACCAGCGAGGTTGACGTGCGGATCTCAAGGGTGCGTGGCCAGCAGGTGAAGCTCAGAGGGTTGACGTGAATGAAATTTCTGCGTGTGAGGGCTGCGCTTGGGCACAAGTTGACATAAACTTAATTGGTCGACGCAAGGCAAAAGCGACCAGTAGCAAGCCCCCCCTTTTAAGAGATGGCTTGGTGGGATTCAGTGTTGGGCAAATCCATATCCAGAACATTGGGAGTTAGTGTATGATGTTGAATTTTCTCCGTCCGTAAAGGTCGCGTATGCTTGATACCGGCCACGAACGGCTAAGAAGTTGGTTGAATGCACTGCTGGATACCAATCCACCTGACTGTGAAGGCGGCGTTTGCTTCGACCTTTGCCCGAGTTCAAGTTTGGCGCGGACATGTCGCCAAAGCTGGGGAAGTAATTGGGAGCAGGTAAGCTGGCAGAGGGAGTGGCCGTAAGTATGGGCTCCGTGATGACTCAACTTGCTGCACGCTTGGCACCACCAAGCTTGTTGCTTTGGGACGTTGGATTCAGACAAGTGCAAGGATTGCCGACATTCAGTGATGGAAATAGAGAACAGACACAGGCCACCATTCTAGTTGCAACACTTACAAGCTTCCAAGAGGATGAATATGAAAGAAACCACATTTGTTTTTGTACGAATACTTAAACATAAAGTATAGCAATACTTATTAAGATATGTAGATCTGCAAAGGAGAAGATGTACAGGGTAAAGGGAAAACAGATTCACATGATGTACAAAAGACATGAACAGGTAAGAGGCAAGAATCAAACAATAATCGCCTTGGAAGCTGCCTCAGCATAATTTCTGAATCGCTGTCCTGAGGTCACAGAGGTTGCAGGTGCGCCGGGGTGGCTGTTGGGCCGGCCGGCATTTTTCTTTCAACCCCAAAAGCTTGCAGCAAACATGAGAGTTGGTTTGGAGGCCGGCTTCAGGTCAGAGGCTTTCCTTGAGGCGTTTTCAGCACAACCCATCTCATGGACGAGTTTGCAGGGCCATGCGTCCGTGGCCGCACCTGCTTCTGGCGAGCTTTTTCAAAATGGCGCGCACACGTTGAGCATTGACAAGTTTTTGCAGCATCAGGGGTCCTCAAAGGGACAAGAGGATATGCAGTTGGTGCTTGGCGCTTCAGGCCTGGCCCGATTTGTTCTTCATTTGCACACCTACTTGTTGTTTGCTTTCGGTTTAAATCACCTGTCCCCCAGCAGCTGCCAGGCAGAGAATCAGGGCCACCGCAGATCCAGGCTGGTTGAGATGTTGCACTGTTCATTTGCAAAGCGGGAGTGAACCTAACCCAGCCATCAGAGGGAACCTCAGAGTTGCCGCCCATGCTCAGTAGCTCCCGGGCTTCAGGGTGAAAGCTTGGCAATTGGTTCACCCAGGGGTATCCCCAGATGCATTTGGCCAGGTGCCCTCTGTCGCAGCTCCACAGGCCGCTTGACCTTGTGATGGTCGGTGTTGGCCCAGCAACCGGGCGACATGCAGCTATCAGCCATGGGACATGTGTTCTTTCGGAGCAACAGAACCCAAAGCGGTTTGGCTTTCGGACTTGCAGTAGGGAGAGTTGGAAAGGGAGGGGGTGGCAACCGTCACTATTTGAGAACGGATGGCTGACGGGACATTTGTGACTTCCGGTTCAGTGCTTCTTGCTTTGCGCGTGCTGGGATTTGGGTGCTTGGAGCAGGTGGCCAACGGTGCGCCCAGGCAGGATGAGTTGGGCTGAGTCAGGATGGACTCCAAGATTCAAATGGAGCCAGAGAATAGCACTTGCCCTATCCTGTCCTCTTTGGTGAGTGCCCTGACAAGGCAAAGGCACTGGCCCTGATACATTTGTTGCCGAGCCGTTACATGCTAATTGAAGGGCGCTGCTCAGCATGGATGACCACTGGGTTCAGAGTGTCCTTTGCAAGAGGTTCCTCGTGTACTTCCACGCTGCAAGAAGCGGCCAGAGTTACAGATGTATGGTACATTTTGTAGTGACATCGGAAACATATTCTTTGACGCGGCCTCGGCCTAGGGGTTCCAACCAGTCCTTCTACACCTACGGGCCACCTGGAACGCCTCACAGCGACTTCGTAAGGCTCGGCAGAAAACTGAGCTGACGGTGTTGGCAACCTCCCCCAGCCCACACTTGTCGAACTGAAGCCGATTATCAACATAGTAACATTAAGGGCTGAACTTTGTCAATCCGCGCATGGTTCGGGGAGTGGGGGATCATTTGTTTTGACACATGGCTTGGTGCATTCTCAGGAATCTGGAAATCGTGTTTACCTCCGCATTGTGATAAGCATATTGTTCATATTGTTTTTGTTTTTGCAAGCAGCTTTGGTTTAGAGCCAATGCGGCATTGGGCTTGCCACCTGCTAGAATCAAATTAGTCTAGCGTCTTGTGCAGAAGTCCCCACCAAAGCTTGAGTTGCATTTCTTGTCGTGTTGCTGGCCCCAAGAGGTGCAGGTTGACCAAGCTCTGAAACATGATGCCTCTGAATCTGAACCAGAAACACCTTAAACAGCATCACAGGAGTCATCTCGAGCTGCCAGGATTGTCTCCTCCAAGCTGCCCTACCATGCCACGACCCCGAATCTTGCGCTCGCTGGACCGGTTGCCGTTGCCAGCTTGCACTGCGCGAGCCCACGCAATGTTAGCTTGCAATGGCCTTGGCTGCAGTTGGAAGCAAACCCTCGTGAATGTCATTTGCTTCACGTTGAGTGAGTCTAGCATGCCACTGTTGACACGCCATGTCGGACGGGCTCAGCCATGGTCTTAGGCACGCCCAGATCGACCATCGCGCACGGTCAACGACTGGATCGCTGCGACCGACTCCGTCCCCGAGGCCGCACCGAAGCTCTACAGTGCAGGTAACGGGCGTGGCCTAGACATCCAAATGGATTGGGGGGATGCTGTGGTTCTATGAAGGCTTGTTTCAGGGCACTTGTGGCAAGGACTAGCTCTTGATCATGTGCAGGACAGTGCTGCCTGTGCAACTGTTTAATCTGACGCAGCCTGTACGGTCGAACTTGTGCAACGTGTCAGTCAAAAGGAGTTTGCATGGCGCGTTTTGCTGAAAGAAACTGCTGCCAACTTTGCTTGGTAATTTTGACAGTTAATGGATTCACTCACCTTTGGACTTCCACAAAACAGCTCGCTCGAAGTCCAATCAACTGGAGAGTGTCCCAGCGAGGCAAATAGCTGCACGCGAGAGTGCAGAAGGACCACGTGCACGCATAACACGTACTACGTAGTACATGCATTCCAGGCTGGAAACCCATCCAATCTGGAAATGTTCAGGAAGAACACTGAGGACACACATCAAGGGTTCAAAACAAGCATTGGCTGCATGCAGAAGGGTGTGCATTTCAACCCGGAACCAGGCAAAGCCTGTTGCCTTCTCCTTCTGTTGACGGCCAGGTGCTAGCCTTGGTCGGCAAGCATGGGGCGGAGTTTGACAGCACCAACACGGCAACGGCCATGCAACTTGACAGCCAGCGTGTGAGCGTTTGTTTTCAGTTAGGTGCATTTAGGGGGGTGGAACTTGCAACCCTAGCTCCTCGAGAAATCCCCACCCGAGGATCCCATCCTTTGTCCAGAAAACACTTTGGATATTCAGCAGACCCAGATCTCGGGCAGTTGGATTCTTCCCCATTTGGCCGTCTTTTGCCCTTTGCATATAGCTCAGGCCCTTAGATGGGTCTTTGCTGCCACTAGCCTCTTTTTGAGGCTAATTGAGGCTTGTTAATTCTAAGCGTTTCCCAATGCATGCGCCAGGCGGCAATCTGGTGCTTAGCCAAGGGAATCACTCGGAAAGGGGGGGTGTTTGAAGGGGGGTATCCCATAAGACACCTATGTCATACTGTTATGCCACAACGAGAAGCTGAGGCACCGCCTCGCAAAATGGCACCGCGAGAGGCCAGATCCGAGGCCTTTTTGGGTGCAGAGACCGACCAGCGGAAGAAAGGAAAACAAAAACGTCGGAATTGCCGCAATTCGTTGTATTTTGTTGGATGAGGGCGGTTTTTCATCGCAAATGTTGATTATGTGACATCAATCGCAACCCTTCTGAAGCAGACTGCCAGCAGGGGTGTTTTTTTGAACAGTCCAGACCCAGAAATCCTCTCCAGCTTGTCGTTTTTGTCGGTGCGCTTCTCCCTTCGCCGCCCTGGGAAAACACAGTTGTGACGCAGGCTTGTTTCCTACACAAGTTCAGCACCGCACCCACGCCTGCCACACCCGCACTGGCCAAATGATAAGCGCACTCGCTCCACCCGCACCTTTGCCCAACATCACACTCGCGGCAGTACAATCACGCCTGCCGAAGTGACAAGTGTGAGCTCTTGAGCAGGCGCACTTCTCATTTTGGCACGCGTAGGTGTAGTGCCGAGAGTATTGTGTTGAGCGCGTGTGCTTACATCATTTGACAGGCGTGGTGAGCTCTTGAGGCGTAGGTGCGCCTGCCGAAAGTTTGGCAGGCGTTCACGGTACTGAGAGTGAGCTCTTGGGCAATGATGTAAGCACACCCGCCCAACAGCACGTGCAATCACGCCAGCCAGAGCTCACTCTCAGATTTGGCCGCGCCTGCCAAATAATGCTGCCACACCCGGCCAAGAGCACACTCTCGGCACTGCACCCACGCCTGTTTATATGACAAGCCGCTCTCAGCACTGGCCCTGCCGAATGATATTAAGCACACCCGCTCAAGAGCACACTCTCGGCACTGCACCTACGCTTGCCTAAATGAGACATGATCCCGCTCAAGAGATCACTCTCAGCACCGGCCACGCCTTCCAAATGATGTAATCACATCTGCCCAACATCACACTCTCGGCACTACCGTACACGTGCCTAAATGACAAGTGCGCCTGCTCAAGAGCTCACTCTCAGCAGAAGCCACCCCTAAACGAGCTCACGAGCACACCCTCAGCCGTGCACCCACGCCTGCTTAAATGACCCGCTCAAGAGCAGACGCTCACCACAGAGTCCACGCCTGTCAAACGATAAGCACCCCTTCTCAAGAGCGCGCGCTGAGTGCGGCACCTATGCCAGCCTAGATGATGTGCGCGCCGATCAAACTCAGCACCGCGCCCAAACCTGCAAAATGATGAGCACGCCGGCGCCGAGCTTTTGCATGACTGGTTCCTGTGCAACACGAAGTTCTTGAAAAAGGCGAAGAATGTTTGCTCCGCCGTGGAAGCATGTTTGAAGCCCTAACACATATGTTCAAGCAAGCGGGTTGGGTTGAAACCGGACTGCGCCTCATTTTTTGCAGTGGTTGATGAGGGCAGCATCAAGAATACTTTTTCGCATTGCCGGGACAGTGCAAGGGCCCCCTCAGCTCAAAGGACAAATTGTGGATCGCATCTTCTTGAGTATGTCAGTCACAAAGCGGTTTTTCTAATGCGTGATAGTTCAGGCAGCCTGCTTGTTCAACAGGTTGTTGAAGCCAGTGAGCCGAACCATGCATCAGTAGATATCAGTAGCAAACCGCTAAAGCGCAGAATCCAGGTTGGCACCTTCATGTGGGAGTCGTCCGGCTTGTAATCATTCAGGTATGAAGAGGAAGCCCTCCGCAAAAGCTTCGCCATGGAGGTTGCTTCTCGCGAAAGCTTTGTGTAAAGGTGTGTGCTAATAGGGAGATGGAATGATGAGCCATGTGTAGTTGCCGGCAGTGCGCGCAGAATGCACACAGACTACAATTGGCCTGAGTATCGACGCAACAAAACAATTCGCTGCAAAGGCAACCCCCAGAAGAAAGCAGCTCGTTGGAGGTTGTCTTTCTGTAGTGTGTGGCGTAAGGCTTTCGCGAAAGTCGATAAACCCCCCGAGTTTCCAAACGTAGGTGGCCAACACAGGTGCAAGCCTGAGGACAGCGCAGGGAAACAGGTCAAACCCTGCACTGCTGCACAATAACAAGTTGCGACTTTCGAGCTGGGGTTGCGAAAGTTTACCTCGCGCTCTACTTGTGCGATGAGTCTTGTGAAAAGAGTCCCGCGAAAGCTCCGTTCCGCAGGTAGCAAAAGTTAGTTGGTTGCAGGGATTTCGTTTCCGGGAACAAGACGACTGCCATTGTAAGGTCGCAATGTTGACTTCTGAGTGCTGTATGTCAGGTGTGGGGGCAGCATGAACGGACATTGACCGTGAAATCAGTCAACTCATTCAACGTAGAACAACGGCTTCTAGACGTTGGTTTCGACCAGGTGCTGTAATCATGTTTGTGCAAATGTGAAACTTAATTGCATCTTTCCAGAGCTACCCGGAGGGCGGTTTGCGTGAGGCTTTTCCAGGACCGGCGCTGGGAGGAGACCCTGGGCCACTTGGAGCGGAACCTCCAGGCGATGATTGCAGGGGCCATTTGTCCAATCTGTGTGTGTGTGCTATTCCTGGCTGTTGGCCATGACTGCCAGCTCAAGCGGGACACCCTTGTCCCCTACTTGCAACGTTTGGGCGTTTGGCCGCAGATCACTGGGCTATTAGGCATATCGCAGCCTTGTAACCATGGCAGCATCCCGCAGAGCCAGCATGGCAAAGGGGGCAAATTCAGCAACTAAAGCCTGCAGCCCCGATGCCAGCGTGGCTCAAATTGTTGGAGCAACCACTCGGTTGGCTTAAGAGTCAGGCAGAATTGATGAAGGTTAAATTCCAACTTAGAGTCATTTGGAGGTTTTGTGTAGATATGCCAGCTTGGTGCGCAGAGTTTCTCAGGGGCAGCAAGGTGCCTTCATTATTAACCCAAGATCATTGTTCCAGTCCAGCAGGGTTGAACACCGCTTTAAAAAACAAACAAACTCTGTAGCCCACACCTACTCTGGCAATGAGACTCTTCATTCCCTCCCGCCTGTGCCATTCTGCAAGGTCCTACATGCATTCCAGTGCCAGTTTGTGAGTGCCCTAGTGGCATGTTTTTTTGACCGTGTCCCTCCGCCGTGCTTTCTTGTGACAAACGTGCCCTGGTTTGAAAATTGGAATGCTGAAACGCATTTGGCAGTGCCGTCGGCAGGGCTTCCAGACTCGGCACCTGACCAGCTCATTGTGGTCCCTGGCAACCCTGGGCAGGCCGGAGGTGCTCCTTTGGGAGAAGCGTGGAGATGTGACTTGCTTGCTCATTGCACGGTTTGTTTTGGAACAAATGCTGGGTCCAGTCGTGTGCTGGTTTGCGCCGTTGCTTTCCAGTCTGATTCGGAGAATGTGCAAAGAGCTCATTGCTGGAAGTGGCGAAGGATGGCGAAGGGTAGCCCGTGGTCTGTTGGCTGCCAGCTTCAGCCCTTGAGCCCGGAAGGTGATATGAATCGATCAATCAAGCTTTTGCACGCCTTTGACATGGGGCTAAGAGCGATTCCGGCTATGTGGGCAAGCGGTGGTTCAACGTTACAGGTACCAGACGGAAAAAGAAAAGAACTCCTTCAAGTCTATTTGATATTTAGTAACGAATATTGATAATCGCTTGACTGCCGGCCGCCGACACAACACAGCGATTGTTTTTTTTTTTCCAAAACAACAGTCGCACTTGGGAGGGTTACATGCCAACACTCAAACTCCGACTGGCTCATGCCTTCTATTTGAAGGCTCGTTTGTTTAATTTGAACTGCAAACCTAGCAACGCAAATTAAATCAAATGCAAATCCCATTCAATCATCATTGAAGTGAAGCAGGAACTCCGTTCAATTAAGTAAGCTTAGATATCAGCATATCATCAGGAAGCACCAGCAATACTAAATCAAATGGAAACTCGAGCCCCGCAATACTATACGTAAAGAACGATGAGAACGTATCCCGCCTCCAGAACGCTTGGTAGCAGCAGGTAACGACCTCGGCTGTATTCTGCAGTGCATCAGCGACTGGGTGCATGACTGCATGCCAACCGGGTCATTCTGGTGCTACAAGCTGTTTGCCCTGTTGCCGCTCGGCTGGATTTTCCCTTCAACATGTCATTCAAGGCATTTTCTACCCTGCTCGATTCGGCAGCCCGCTGTGTCGATGTGCTCCAGTGATGAGCCAAGACCGAAGTTGCAGTGCAACGTGTCCATGCCCAGCTTATCCAACTCAAGGTGGATGCTCGCTCGCAGAAGCCTGCTTTGCTCAAGAAGCCCATGGACACTCTTGGTTGCATGCTTCAATTGGCAAGCATGGAAGTCTTGAAGCCATCAAACACCCACACCGGGAAAAAGCACCAGACACATCGCAGAACGATTTTCTTCGGCCTTGTGCAAGCCTCGGTGCTCGCATTTCTGCGCTAAGCGGCAGTCCATGTCCGGAAGGATGGACTCTGATACCTCCAGAGGCCTTGACTCCCGAAGCCTCGCCAGAGCTGAGCCCTTCGGCAAAAGAGGGCATGTGAGGGAGCTGGCTATGTGTGGGCATGTGGCTGTTTTCTCGGTGCTCGTGTTTTGTTTTCTGTTTTTTTCCCCCGTTGGCCTGCTTGTTTGTGTCTCTGACTATGTCTTTGTCTTTGCACTTGCTGCACTTGCTTGTCTTTGCCTATGGCGACCAGGGGAAGTGTGGAGTAATTTCCGTGGCACGGCACTTTACGACTGGCCTGCGACCGCTCGCTCCCGTGTGGAGGCATGCGGAAGCCAAAGTATAGAAAGCGCAGAGCTGTGTGCTTTCTCGCAGTTCGCGTGACCTGAAGCGCAAAAACTGGCCGTGTTGAGCGGAGTCGGGGCTGGGTCGGAGTTTGAGGCTCCCGCCAGTGGCCGAGCCAACAAAACAGCTACAGGACAGCCGCAAAAGCCAGAAATTCGCTCCAAGCGAGTTTGACCACAAGTTACGCCCGCCGCCTGCCCAGGAGCTTTCATTCTGCTTGTTGGGCAGCTTGGCTGCAGCATTTCGTCAGTGCTCAAAGATGTGGCGGCGCGTAATCGTGCCTCTACAAAGCACACGCGTCCCCTGCTATCAGCCCTTGTAGTTGGGCCCTGGCTACGGATGGCGTGTCCTTGCAAGAGCTCGCCTGGTCGTGTGTGAAGAATCGGAGTGCCCTGGATGAAGGGGATCTCCACCAAACAGGACGCGTGATTTCGCTGACAGCTATGGCTGCTTTCGGTTCATTAGTCCACTTTGGCTTGACTGAGTTTCTTTGCCGTCGTGTCAGCCAATAGCATGCTCGAGCCAGTCGGGTTGACTGTTTAGCGCCTGTGTGGTCGCTGTCCAGCTTAGAGAGGCCAACTTCTTGATCAAACTGTTGTAGTTTGACGGCTGCTTTTTAATTGTGCCTTAGCGCGGGTTTCCGCGCGGAAAGCTGGTGCTTCAGTTTTCGGAACCAGTGGGGTCGGCCTTCAATCGCTCGCCATTTGCTAGTGTCTTCTAGTTTGTCCGCGGGCTCGCGGAGCCCCTGCGCACTTGAAAGGCGTTGACCCTCGAAACCAGCCACAAGCAAACTACCCCGTCTCCAATGACCATCTCAAGCACCCTAGTTCCCAGTTTCCAGCCTCCCGCGCACAGCTCCAAGCTTCCAGCATTCCAATGCCAATTTGCCAGTCTCCAGCTCGCAGTTTCCAGTTCCCAGTCATGGTTGGTGACAGCTACCCGTGCAAGCTGCATGGTAGTCTTGACTTGGGCCCGGATAGTTGTAGAGTCTACGCGTGCAAGGCATCACGCAAGGCACTCCTCCAAAGCAAGGCGGCAACAAACCCACGCGCCTCTCGCGCTATAGCTTATTTCTTTGAAGCTTCGGCCCCGGCTTTGCCGCTAAATATGTTGCGTGTGCTTGATTGTTCTGTTTTGTCATTCTTTTTTGTTTGCGTTTCTTCCTGGCCGCATTCCCGCCATTTGTTCTGTGTGCTTGCTTGGCTTATTGCATATTGCGTTTTGACCCTTTTCTGCACCAACCTTGGAGGGACTGAGCAATTTTTCCCAGAGGATATGAATCACATTGGGCACGGACCGAGCAAGCTTTTGAGATCTAATGCAGCCAATGTCTTTTGCGTGGTGCGAAGGATTAATCCTTCGTATGCTGTTCGGTTGGCACGCCAGCTGGCTGACTTGCACCTCATGCTCTTACTCGCGCTCAGTTGCTAACACGCGATGGTCTGCAACTGTTCAGTATCAAAAAAGGATGCCACCTGGATTTGCTCATGGAACCATGGTGGGTTGTCATGGTGGTTGTCGAGAGCGAAACCCCAAAAGGGCGGATTCTTAATCATTTCTTTGGCAGTCCTTACTTGTTCTCCTAGTATGCGCATCAAATGTCGGAAAGAGGCAGGCAGACCATAGTCCATAGTGTTCTTGCCAGCGAACAAACCAACCTCACCAATACTGTCTTGTATTGGTTTTAATCACAGAGGGATTCTCATTGAGGCGCCTGTGATTGGCTCGCCGAGTTGCTGTTAAAAGGCTAGTTTGGGCTCACTTCCTTCTTTTGTCGCAGGGAATAGCGTTGTACTCTTTTTGAAGTCGGGAGGGTCGTTGCGCAAATGTCCCGTCCAATCACTCCCGGAGTGCCATGCCCGGAAGCCGAGGTCCAGCATTTTGTTCTCACCTGCAGAAAGGAAGGACACCATGGACGATATCAATGAGCTGATGTTGCTCAGCCCTCAGTTCAGCTGCCTCAGTGAGAATGAAAACTGACATTCAATGAGCTTGGGCTCAACGAGTTTTAGCTTGCAAATGCTATGCGGCCCTTGTTGCCTTGGAATGCCTCGTAGGGCAGTGTCTCTAGTTTTCGACTTGTTTCGGCCCTAGCTTCCGGAATCGGCCTCCACTCCATAATGTTGCTTCGGTTGACTTTTGCAGGGGCTTAGTACTGGTCGTTGGATATGTTGTTGTTTTTTTTTGCGTACATCTTCTCATTGGGCAAGCTGCTGGGTGTGCAGCGGCGTGCGCAGTTTGCGTTGGGTTAGGCCACGAGATGGACAATATAATACGTTGATGATGCTTGTTTGTGGGCGTTTCAATTCAAATTTATGTTGGAACAGGCTTGAGACAAGTCTGGTTGCCGCGTTATGTTGGATAGAAGCCTCATCCTCGCAATCGTGGGCAGTCGTAAGAAGGATGAGGTGTCGAGATTGTGGCGACAAGCTAGCGCCAACGAGTTTGTTTTCCTTGCCTCCGGTCCCCCCTGGCTTGTTGTTTGGATGCTTGGGTCGCTCCACTGGTCCATGCTTGCCAAAACTGAGGCGGCCACCCGAGCCCTTCTCCGAGCTTGTGCGCAGATTGACTAACATACATGAGTCGCAAGAGGCACCCTTGCCCGACGGGGGAAGGGATTTAAAGAAGACCAGATTCAAATAGCCATGCCGCCACGGGGTAAATGACAAAGGGCTTCGGTTGTAGAATTTCCGCAAGGCACGTGTCACTGCGTTTGGTTTTGGCGCTGGCAGTTTGCCACTAATCATTTGCTGGGGCCAATGTAACGTAAACAGGTCTACATTGGCCTTTGAGGGTGGCACAGCTTATTGGTTGGCGCTGCTGCCCGTACGATTTTATTATTTTTGTTCATACCTGGCAAGTCGGTAAAATGGACACTTTTGGGGACCAGAGTTCCACTTGTTTTACCAAAGGGCCATGCTCGAAGAATTTTTAGGTGGGTCGGTCACCTCAACAACTCAGTGAATGTATCTGTTGCGAACTCCAGAACGTTTAGGCCACTCAGCCCCAACACAGCTGACGCATAGCAAAGGAGGAAGCGGTGGCAAGACCTGTTTTGTCAGGTCCTGGAATTGTCCGATGGGCTGCTTGAAGTACTTAGCATACTATCCCTATGGATTTGGCAGCTGATTTGTGTTGTCATTGTTCGGCTTCCATGGCTTTTCGTGTTGTGGCGCTGAATCAGTATGCTATGACATGTTCAGCTCCAAGCTGCAAGAGCTACAAGTTCGCCAGAATCAAATATGGTTAGGGATGCGTTTCTTTGGCAAGTTTCCCTTTTGCCCCTCTTTGAGCCTCCCCTTGTCAGCCTGTTCCACCAAGTTGCTGAATCTTTTGACCCCGTGGAGCGTGTCGTGCGACTCGCGGATTCGGTTTTGCGCCCTATTCACGTAGGCGCAGAGCTGTTTTTTTTCGGCGCCCTTCTCTTTCACCTTGTGCGACGCATTTTCGGCGAAGGCTTTGCCATGACACTT